GGTTCAGGGATGGACAGAAATTAATACTTTCTTCTTAACTGTGCATCTTAGGAAACATGACAAATTCATTCCCTCTCATGGTCTTCCCTCAAGATAGTGCTAGAAGTCTGGGCTGGTTATCAGAACCATAGTAGCTCAGTTGAGTTTAACAAATCTGTTTTGAGGTGTGTGTGTGTGTGTGTGTGTGTGTGTGTGTGTGTGTGTGTGGAGCAGTTCCTGTGCAAGTCTGTGCCAAGTGCTGGGTGGACTTCTATGAACAATCTGGTCCTTAAACTTGAAGATGTCCATCAGCTCCTAGCATCAACTGCAACAGTTGCTGTGGCATTTCAGGTAAGTTGCCTTCTCTTTTTTCTCAATTCTCTTCTATGAAATGCAAAGTTGGAAGGAGGGCATAGAGTCTTTCCTGCTTTAAACTTTTGCGGTTATATGACTTGCTCAAGGGGGATTCCCAGGTGGTGCTAGTAGTAAAAAACCCACCTGCCAAAGCAGGAAACGTAACAGACACAGGTTCAATCCCTAGGTTGGGAAGATCCCCTGGAGGAGTGGATGGCAACCCACTCCAGCATTCTTGCCTGGAGAATCCCAGGGACAGAGAAACCTAGTAGGCTATCGTCCATAGGGTCGCACAGAGTCAGACACAACTGAAGTGACTTAGCATGCACACATGCACACTTGCTCAAGGTCACTGATTCAACCCTGCTGTATATGCTCCCATCCCTTGGTGGGATAACAGGTTTGAGCTTACCAATACTGATGCAAAAGCCCACTCTCTTTACTAGCTTCCACAAAAGCACAGAGAACATGGTGTGATTTTATCATTTTTCTGAAGATGCGTGGATTTGCCCACTCCCATAACTCATGTTCTTCCTGCCACCCAGAAATCCTTCACATTTTCACATGTTTAGATACAGATCAGTGTTTCACTAGTGGTCCAGTGGTTGAGCCCACCTTGGAATGCAAGAAACACAGGTTTGTCCCTGGTCCGGGAAGATCCCACATGCCACGGGGCAACTGAGGCTGTGCTCTGGAGCCCGAGGGCAGCAGCAATGGAAGCCCGTGTTCTAGAGCCCGCACTCCACCACAGGAGAGGCTGCTGTAGTGAGAAGCCCGTGTACTGCAGCTAGAGAGTAGCTCCCGCTTGATGCACCTGGAGAGGGCCATACACAGCGACAAAGACCCAGCACAGCCAAAAATAAACAAATCTTCAATAAATAAATACAGATCACCTTTCCAGGCCAGTCCTGTCCTGCAGCACACTTCCCCTGCTTCCTCTTTTAGAAATGTCCTCTCTCTCCCGCAGACTTAAATGATTCCTGCCTTGCGTTTCTCAGGTCCTGTCTCCCTGGAGTGATGTGGCTTCCTCTGCAGATGACGGGTTCTCAGAGAGCAGACAGGAATGGCTCTACTCATCCCCTCTGTCCCAGTGAGGAGCTCACTCGGGGCTCTGCACACAGTAGGCACCGCTGAATGTTTCATGTTAGGGACAGCTAGCCAATGATCTTCATGATGGTGTAGAAAGGCACTTTATGACCTTTCTAACATTTAATGAATGTTCGAAAATCGTTATCAGATTTTTTAAAAAGCCAATCACAAAACAGCAAGTATTATTTGATTTTCCTTAAAAAATGTATCTGAAAGAGTACAAGGAGATATCTCTGTGCCCAGGATATTCATTCAGGCAGCAGGATTTGGGGTAAATCTTCCAGCATGTCTTTCTAAACGTTCTAGAATGAGCATGTATTACTTTCAGAATGGGGAAAAAAGAGAAAAGCTATTTAAAATTAAATAAGTAGGACTTGCCCGGTGGTCCAATATCTAAGACTCCATGCTTCCAATGCAGGGGGCTCGGGTTCCCTCCCTGGTCAGGGAACTAAGATCCCACATGCTGCGTGGTGCAGCCAAAATTTTTAATAAATTAAAATAAAATAAATAAGTAAATGTTTGCTCAGTGAATGAAAGAACAGGGCTCTACTGTGTTACCAGAGACTCATTTGAGCTGAATCTTAAAGCGGAAGTCATCCCCTGCTGACCAAGTCCCCCTAACCACCCATTCATTGCCACCAGAACCCCAGAAAAGCTTCTAACTGTAGAATTGCTCCTAAGGAGTTTGCTATGACCATCCTGCTTCAGTAGGAGTCATAGTGGTACCACATTTGCTGACAGCAGTGATGAAAACCCTTGCATGTACACAGGACTTTACAGTTTACAAAGAAAATGCTCATTTTCTCCTTAGGATCCTGCAAGGCAAGTATTAATGCCTCCTAATAACAGATGAACAAACTGGGCCTAGAGCGAATAAAGATATGCAACTAGCAAGGGGTAGACAGAGCTCCCAGCCCTACACCTCCCCATCACTGTGCATAAAAATTCCCAGGCTAACAGATCAGACTTGGTGTCTGGGGTGACAAGGCACCAACATTTTTCATGCCCCAGAGCAGTTCATTTCCCAGGAAAGCAGGTTTTGGGGATAGGCATTTCCTGTCTGGAGTCTGCAATTCTCAGGAGCACTTCAAGGAAGGTCCTCCCACGAGAAAACCCTGCATGAGGGGTTGTGTCTGCCATGGCCCGTGTTGACCACTGTCTTAAGTAGCAGCACTGGCTGAAGGCAGGAGCTTTTCTGCCAGAGATGCAGACAGCATCTGGAACTGGGGCAGGAATCCAGTCTCCTGAAGAAGAGTCAGGAACTCCATTTTCTTGGACTGTATTCTGGGCAGAAGAAGCACAGATATAGCCCCTCAAGCCAAGGTTACTCATGACCAGAAACAACTTCCTGTTCCAGAAAAAACTCTCTGAACTTCATGTGGCAGGATCCTCAGAAATTCACCATTTGCTGCCATGGTCCCAACAAAAGTCCAATTCTCTGCTCCCCTACACAACTCATGTAGACCCACTGGGAGGCATCTATAATTCCATTTTCTTTATAAAATATAATTATGATAAAAAGTAAAATACAAAGTACTAGAGAAGACAGTAAATATTGAGTTTGTACATAACTTCCAAATTAAATCTTTTCAAATGTCTTAATGAGAAATCTCAGTTTTCTCCCAGAAACATTTTTTTCAATATCACATATAAAACTGGAACTGATTACACACAATTGATCAAATGACTCCACACAAATAATCAAGAGTTTTAATGAGGATCTTTTCAAATTCTTGACAGTTAACCATCAACAAGAAAGTTTGTTCTCACATGTAAGTGATGAAATACTTAAAAACCATTTTAAACAAGTATTCAATGCAATGCAGTAATTGAAATTATATTTACAGAATCAAATAGGTCTTTTCTTTATTGGCAGCATTAATGTTGGAAATTCTTGTGTTCAAGCAAATGGTTGTAGGATCCAGTCAAATTTTTTCACACCAAGTATTTCAAAATGATGCAGGTTCATTCTGCAGACTAGGCATGCATCGTGAGAGCTGTCAGGCTGCAAAGAGCGGGGATGCCTCTAGACAGACAAAACAGTCAAGGAAGGACAGAAATGTCCTGATACATGTGAAACAGAAAACCAGGGTCACCACTGTAGCTTTATCACCCCGTTATCCCCCAACCTTGATCCCAACCTGGGCTAGAGACCCCTTGGGCACCTGGAGCACTAACTCCAGTTACTCCATAGGCCCCTTGTTCGCCACAGGCAGGGATCTACTCCCAAACTGATGGCTGTAGTAGATGTTCAGGCAGAGAGCACCTCCTTGACCACACCCAGCCCATCCCAGTCTGCTGGCCACTTGCAAGAACCTCAGAGTCGCATCCAAGGGACTCCAGCCCCGACTGTTCCCTACCAGAGACCACCAGCTCATGAATTCCAGATGTTCCTGGACCACCTGGCTACTCTGAGGGTAGGAGGGGATGGTATTTCTTGGTAGATCAAGTGAGCAGCTCTGGCTTAGGGATTCTACCTACTAAGAGGAGTTGGAAGATCTAGAATTTTCCAGAAAGAATTTTCAGCGAGCTTCGGATTAGTGGTCAAAGGCGAAGACTGGGAGAAGGAAGCCTAGGGAGGTAATGGAGAAAAGAAAGCAAATTGGGCTCATTCCCAGAGCTTCCCAGAGGTAAAGAACCCACCTGCCAAAAACAGGAGACATTAAAGACACAGATTCAGTCCCTGGGTCTGGAAGAGCCCCTGGAGGAGCATATGGCAGCCCACTCCAGTGTTCTTGCCTGAAGAATCCCATGGACAGAGGAGCCCGGCGGGCTACAATCTATAGGGTCGCAAAGGGTTGCACACAACTGAACCGACTTTGCACACACACACACACACACACACATCCACACACGCCCAAGTTAACACCATTGGAATGTTTAACTTGCCCTGGTTGTCCCAAAAGCCACGGGGATGATGGGGGCTTGGTCCAGGTGAGATCCAAGAGCCCTTCCCCTCTCCTCGGGCCCCAAAGACCCTCTGAAAAGACCTGAAAGTACCCTAGGGCCAAGAATCAGGTCCAAACCACGATGGAGGCATCAGTTACGGGAAGGTGAGGCACGGGCTGCGTCCTGAGTCTTTATTGGCTCTGCTGAAGGACAGGAAGTGGAGAGACAGGGAGGGAAAAATGGAAGGCGCGATTGCCGGGGTGGTGCGGGGTGGAGAAGACCTAGTGGAGAGGGAGACAACAAGATTTGGGGAAAGGCACGGGCAAGGAGATGCAGAGCTGGACTTGGAGGAGAGATAGATGGAGAGAGGCACAAATGGACGGAGATAAAGGGACGAAAGAGATGGAGTGAATTGGAGGAAGGCAGATGCAAAGAACCTAGAGAGAGAGAGAGAATCTCCAAGGATGGAGATAGAGTCTGAGAGGTGGAGGGAGGAGGTGAGAGCCGGCCCGGAGCAGAGAAACCAGAAGCTGGGGAGACGGAGAGAGAGAGAGAGACTTAGGATCCGCCTGGGTTCCTCAAAACCAGGTTGCGAGCACCCGTTGGAGAAGTCGAGCTCGGCGGAAAGCTAACTCCACCGGCAAGTGCAAATGTAAAGAGGCCCTGAGAGCACTTTGTGCAAATAGCAGGCTGGGAAGTGCTGCGCCCGCGGAGCTGCCGGGCACCTCGGCGCCCCGGAGCCCCGGGCCGCGCGCTAATTCACTTTGCTGTCACCTCCCGGGCAGGGGAGGGCAGGCGCTGGCCGCCGGAGCGCGCCAAGGGCACCGAGGCCTGCGAGGGCCGAGGCCGTGGCTCTGCCTAATGGAGCAGAAGACAGATCAGCAGAAGCAAGGCAGGTGGGGCAGGAGGGGGAGTGCGGGCCTCGGGATGAAGTGAGGGGGAAAGCCATAGGGGCGCGGAGGAAAGGATGCTGGCTTCTGCTCTGGGCTGAGTCCAGCGCTTGCACCCGCTGGGGGCGAGACTGAACAAGACCTCCTGAGCCTCAGTTTCCTCGCCTATAAAATAGGAAAATCAAGCCTTTCCTGGCTCTCAAAGGGTTTTTGTGAGGCTGAAAGGGGAAGGGGCTTGGAGAGAAATAAAGTTCATAAATGCTAAGAAATGAACTAAATGCCTGGCATCTTTCTAAAAACTTCACCTACATTTGCTTGTGGGATCTTCTCAGCATTTCCACTTATGCCCATTTCACAGATTACAAAATCAGGGGAATTCCCTGGTGGTCCACTGGTTAGGACTCCTTGCTCTCACTGCCCAGGGCAAGGTTTGATCCCTGGTGGTGGAACTTAGATCCCATAAGCCCTGCAATGTGGCCAAAATAATAATAATAATAATAAATGCAGGCACTGAGCAGGGTCACACAGGTTGTACCTGGCTGGAGAACCTTGATAATTTGGCTCCAAAGTCCAAGCTAAACTATAGAGGCATATATAGTGATAGGTAACTATAGCGGCAACTATAATAATATTTTTATTAATCCCCACATTTTACCGATGAGGGAAAGGAAGTTTAAAAAGCTAGGGCCTTGTCCTATGTCCCGTAGGTGGTAAGCAGCCAAGCCAGTACTTGGGTCTTCCAGTGCAGAGGAGACAGTGGAAAGAAGTGGACTGTGGGGTCAGTTGATTTGGGTTCAATGTCTCGCTGTGCCCTGTGTGATGTTGTGAGAGTTGCTTTCGTTCCCCGTGATGGGCAACAACAACCAGCTCCACACCATGACTGTAAAGGTTAAATGAGAAAAAGTGTATGAGGAGCCGGACACAGGTGGCACTCAGCTAATTCATTTGGTCACTATTTATCGAGCACTGTGCTGGGTTTTGAGGCTTCATTGATAACTAACACAGAGAAGACCTCTGCCCTAAAGGAATTTGCCTTTTAATAGAGGAGACAAATAACAAGTAAACAACTCATAGATTGTGAGTAAGGAAATTAGAAAGAATAGAGTATTATAACAGACTCATATAGGGAAACCAGCTCTGAGAGATTTGGGAAGACCTCTCAGAGGAAGTGATATTGAAACTGAAAGATGAGATGGAGCTAACCTGGAGAGGAGCTGAGAATCATGTCCCAAGAGAGAGGACAGCCAGTGCAAAGGGCCTGAGGCAGAAAAGAATTTGGCACATTCTAAGAATTGGTAGCAGAAGCACAGAGGACAGTGGAAAAAGAGGCGTTCAGAGAGGCAGGCAGGAGCCTGACCCTGCAGGGCCATGTGAGCCATGGATTTTATCCTAAGCTCAATGGGAAGGCACAGAAGGCTTTTAAGCAGGATGATATGGTCCAATTTACACTCTCAAAAATCACTCTGGCTGCCAGGTGGAGATTTGAGAGGACTGAGGGTGAAAGCAGGAAGTTGTTAGAAGGTGAGTGTCTATCCAGGTTTGAACAAAGAGGTGTCAGGGGAGATGGAAAGACACAGATGAATGCAAAACTATTTTATCATAATAGAAATGCAAACTGCTGCTCAGCTTTTCATCACTGATCAGTGCTATCTGGTCTCCGACTGAGTTTCCAGGTCTAGTAGAACAGGCTTCCCCAGTTCCGCTGGGAATTAGGGGCAGTGGCTTCCAAAGATCTTCACCTGACCTCCCTGCTCGGTTACTTCCTATGCTGAGTTGAGGGTCAGGCTGGCCCATTGCCCTGCCAAACGCTATAGATCAACTAGCAGATCTTGGGGCTGAGGGCACTGACCTCAGGACCAGAGACCAGCTAGCTGTCATCCACGCTCTTCCTGTCTGCTGGGTTAAGCCTGTGAGGCTACAGGAAGTGGTCAGCCATGGTCCCTGCCTTCAAGGTGGCATTTTGGGGGAGCAGGTCACTTTAAAGGAGAGCTCAGGAAAACACAGCAGGGATTATTATCCTGTTGTGTTTCTTTAAGTATTTGTTGTTGAAATGGAAGTTACAATCCAAGCTAATTTGAATAACAGAATCCCAGGAAAAACACCCTCTAACCACAAAAATGAATATTCAACATTCCCACCTTATCTTCCTTGCTTTGTAGGGCTGTTTCTCAGCTGCATATTAAATGGGCCCTTCATGTGAAGCTGGCAGAGTGGTAGTTTTGCAAGACAGAGTGCTGCTGGGCTCAGGTGCTAAATTTGGAACAGAAGTCATTTTGGGTCCCCAGAACTTCAAGGACCTTACAGGGACAGGCGTAGCACCACAGGAAAGGTAAACGAACTGGAGAAAGCCTGGATCAAGACCATAGAAGGTGTTGAGGTAAAGAGTGTTTCTGACCAGCTCCCACCAGCTCAGAGGTCAAGCCAGTCCTGGCCTGGCTGGGACTCACAAGGAACCTTCCAACTCCCACCCCAGAGAGGAACATCTGATCTGTGGTGGTCTCACAGGGTAGCCCCACGAAATGAGTACTGTGCACCCACAGAGCCCCTGCAGAAAACCCACAGGGTGTGTTTACACTGAAAACAGAGCTCCCTGGATCCAGCTGGTCCTTGGGAAACACTCAAGACATGGATGCTCTGATAATCTACTTGTTCCTGCCAGACAGAGCTTCCTCATACTCTGTACGCATGTTAGATGCCTCACACTCCAAGGGTTCCATGAACACAGCACTAACTTCCCCTGTCTCCATGACTTGGCATTTGCTATGCCTTCTTCCTGGAATGCCTTTCCTTCCAGCTGGATTCCTGACAAGTACCTGCTCCAAGTCACCTCCACTGGCAGTTCCTGACACCTACTTCTGCCAGGTTCCCACAGAAGCTACACACTGGACCGTAACTACCTGAATACGTCCTCCACAAAACTCGATTGTAGGTTCCCCGAGGGAATCTCTGCACCTGCAGTGGCTGGCCAGAGCCCTGCACAGAGGGCTTGGGGTAAGACTTGTGTGTGAGAAGAGGAGAAAAAGAGCCCGTCTGATGGGTGACAGAATCGGGATCTCAAGAGGTCTCACTTGTCAGATCCATGAGCTTAATCCAACAGGAAGACATTTAACAGAAGTAAATGTCATGTTCTGCACCTGTATTTCAAACCAGTGACTTCAACACAGGAGAGGAGCCCAGGGTGAACAGTCTCTTTCATGAAAGGGAAGCCTGGGACATCCCTGGTGGTTCAGTGGTTGGGCATCTGCCTTGCAATGTGGGGGATGCAGTTTAGGTCCCAGGTCCAGAAGCTAGGATCTCACACACAAAGTAACGGGGCCCATGTGCCACAACTAGAGAGATTACATGCCACAGCTACTGAAGCCCATGCTCTGGAGCCTGCCCGCTGCAAGTACTGAGCCCACACATCACAACTAGAGGTTGCACTGCAATCAAAGATTCCCTGGGGTGAAATGAAGATCCTGTGTGCCACAACCAGGACTGGATGCAGTCAAATAAACAGATATTTTTTAAAAAAGAAAAGCCTGGTGCCGCGGGCACTGACAGTTGTGGAACAGGCTGCTGTAAATGCCAACATCATCTCAGGCAGAATTAAGAGAGGTGTTGTGCCTACAACATGGGGTGGAAATGTCCTGATGAATTCCAAAGAGATTCCAAATGACAACTGAGGAGGAACATCTCAAGGAGTAAGATTAAGATCTTCAGGTCCCCAAGGAGTTGGCCAAGAGAAGCAATGGGTTCTGTGGGACTTCAAGAAGCAAAATAAGGCTGATGGTTGGAGGTCCAGAGTAAGAATAAATACTGAGGGTCAAACGTGTCCTAATATGGGTGGGAGTAAGCTCCCCATCTCTGGAGGCATGTAAGCAAAGGCAGGATGTGCCACTTGGCAGGGCTGTAGAGTCTCCTACTTCTCTGGCCTCCTTTCCCACCTTTCTCTTCCCTGCTCCCCATGCTCCAGACACACTGGCTTCTTTGCTATTTCCCAGCCACACCTGCCTCAGAGCCTTTGAACTTGCTTTCCCCCTTGCCTGGAAAGCTCCTCCCCTAGATATTGGCATATCCCCCTCCCTCATTTCAATCATATTTCTGCCCATCTGTCATCTCCAGAGAGGCACATTCCCTGACTACTCCATTTAAACCAAATATCTGTTGGTTTATTGCCTGCCTCAAGATCATAGCATCCGGTCCCATACCTTCATGGCAAATAGATGGGGAAACAATGGAAACTGTGAGACTTTATTTTCTTGGGCTCCAGAATCACTGCAGATGGTGACTTTAGCCATGAAATTAAAAGATGCTTGCTCCTTGGAAGAAAAGCTGTGACCAAACTAGATAGCATATTAAAAATCATAGACATTACTTTGCTGACAAAGGTCAATCTAGTCAAGGCTATGGTTTTTCCAGTAGTCATGTATGGATGTGAGAGTTGGACTATAAAGAAAGCTGAGTGCTGAAGAACTGATGCTTTTGAACTGTGGTGTTGGAGAAGATTCTTGAGAGTCCTTTGGACTGCAAGGAGATCAAACCAGTCAATCCTAAAGGATTGACTATCCTGAATATCATTGGAAGGACTGATGCTAAAGCTGAAGTTCCAATACTTTGGCCACCTGATGCGAAGAACTGACTCATTTGAAAAGACCCAGATGCTGGGAAAGATTGAAGGTGGGAGGAGAAGGGGATGACAGAGCATGAGATGATCGGATGATATCACTGATTCGATGGACATGAATTTGAGCAAGCTCTGGGAATTGGTGATGGACAGGGAAGTCGAGCATGCTGCAGTCCATGGAGTCGCAAAGAGTTGGACACAACTGAGTGACTGAACTGTAACTGTAACTCCCACTATAATGTGAACTACCGTTCATCAGGATCTTGGTATTACTCACTGCTGCATCCAAAGTGTCTAGAAGGGCCTGGCACTTATTAGGTGGTACTCATTAAATATTTGCCAAAAGAAAGAAAGAGTGATCTCATT